TCCCGCGAAAATGGTTCTTCTATCTGTACGATCTTATCATACATGGGAAAACAAGACAGGAACCCTTGAACAATCTGGCTGAAGTATTGAAGCACTTGATCAAAGTAGGTCTCAAACTGACCATGTAATCTCTGTTACAAGCAGAGGTAACGTATCTCGGACACATCATTTCGGGGATGAGAAATCGAACGGATACTCTCAAGCACTATGATAAAATGGCTCGGCGGCGGCGCAAATTGTGGGACAAATTCCTCCTCTCTGCTTCTTCCATTGATTACAAGACGTACAAAGGACAGCAAAATATTTGCAATATTAGAAAACTGAGCAAGCGCTGGCATTTCGAACAGCAACTCGTAATTGATGCAAAGATAGATCCGAAAAGAATATATTTTATGTGAAGCGGCGCCTCAAGCCAGCAGGTGGTCTGCCAATGCTAGAGGGTTTCGCGCGGTCAGCCTCTAAACTTTAGCCCTGTGCGTACGTCCATCTTGGCGATGCACTTTGCTTCGGTGTTTGAAAATGACCAGTTGTCTTTAATGAGTTCGACGTGTACCGCGCTTATCGAACTCGACAGTCTAGTTTGCGGTGTATAAGTGGTGCATGAACTTAACGGCACCAAAGTTGCTGGCACTGACGAACTTCACCCACTGCTTCTCAAGACCCTATCGGCCAGTATCTCACCTACTGTGACTGACTTGGTCAATAGATCACTATCCGAATTTTCATTGCCGGGCGACTGAAAACGCTCAGTGGTTAATCCGATTGCAAAAGACGGTGACGCCAGCAAAGTGCACAACTACAGGCCGATTTGTCTGGCACATATTTTGGCTAAGGTTGCCGAGAAGATCGTGAAGTATGGTCTACTACAGCTGCTCTAATCAAAAGTGCTACTGACGCCCGCACAGCAAGCCTTTAGGCTAGGCGGCTTATGCGTTACCAACCTGCCGGTGACGAGGCACGAATGGTTTGCAGGCAGTAAATCAGGGGAATTTTTTCAACGCAATCAACACGGGTTTCCATAAATCCTTCGACAAAGTAAACCATGAGGTCCTTCTCCACAAGTTGCAAATGTGCGGGGTTGTTGGATCACTGCACCAGTGAAACCAAAGCTTTCTCGTTGGGCGAAATTTGAGGGTACGGGTCGACGGCCATCTAACTGACTGTTATCCCTCCACTAGTGGAGTACAGCAACTCACGGTGCTGGGGAATACTCTGTTCCTAATTCGCATCAAACATCTACCTCAGTTTCTTTGATTGCCGTGTGCCCAGTTTGCGGACGACGTGAAGAGTTGGAGAGAAATTAGCCGGCTCTTAACGTAAAGGTAACAAGAATGTTTTGTAATTTGGCGCCGCGTGTTCGAGCCTGCTTAAGGACAGGACGAATCTCACAGTATCCATAGACAATGTGCAGCTGGTAGTAGTTGCGCGGCAGCGAAGCGTCGGTACTGCATACCGGCGCACTGCTGATGCCTTCCTTCCTTGGTACTTCAAACGACTGCAGTCTGCTTCAGCACGACCTCAACCGCCTCTGCAGGTGGTCTGCAGAAGTCCTCAAAACCAACGCATTCAAATCTTTATTTATGAGCCTGAAGAAGGATGGCGATGGCCGGATTCACACCATTGACGGTCAATCGGTACATCTAGCACATTCTGTGCAACACTTAGGTGTACTCCCGCGCCGCGATTTAAAGTCTGTTGACAACACTAACAGACTATATCGTACAGGACTGCGCATGCTTTGTGCGATCAAACGCAGGTTTTGTACTTGGTCCGAAGAGGTCGTTTCTTCTCTTCCATCGTAAAACAATACTAGAGCACGACACACTTTCCTACTGCCTAATTACCCGAAGCGAGGCACAGGAGCTCGAACGGATCCAAAATGTCGGCACCAGGCTCACACCAGGTTTAGGAGAATTATAGTACAAAGCACGATGCGAGAACTTCGGACTCTACAGCTTATGATATCGTCGGACGCGAGTCGAGCTTATCTTGACCTACCGTATATTACATCTCGGTGACTTCCCTATCTTGATGCCGCTGCTTCATGTAACACACGCGGACGCCGGTACAACCTTGTGGTGCCGCATATACAACGATTACTCCACCCCTGTGCTTTGAAAGGAGAGTAGTACATGTTTGAAATGAACTGTCCGAGCAACTCATGGAAGCTAAATTTTTACAACTGTTCAAAATGTTGGTGACTAGTTGTTGCTCCTCCCAACCCTGACACCCCATAACCGGTTTCGTCCTCCTTTGGATTCACCAGATGGAGATAGCCTGAGTTTGGTTGGACCTCGAGGCGTAGTGTTCAAAGGTTGGCACCTTGACCACTATGGCTCCTAGGTCCGCAAGCAACGCTTGGCACAGCGGTAAAGAGTTCCAGGTGGCATTTGGTGTACCCGCTGTATTACTTGGTTTAAACTTCAGCTTTTCGATTTAGCGAACGGCTAAACACTAGTAATGACAACTTGAATATATAAACCCAGTGAAACTGTAAGTCAGATATTCTAAAATGCTGCAAAAGAACTAGTCGAACGATTTGATTATCACGAAGCGTATATACTTTTGCTAACATTTTAACTATATTGCTATGGGGATGTACATATTTATATTTCCACTTGCTCCCCCACACACAGGCGAAACACGTGAAATCATGGCCAATCCCTGCTACTGTTGACTAGTTACGTTGTTTTTCAGGGTTGGTTTCCTTGCACCAGCGATTCCTAAAAGGATTTGCGAAAATCGCACCAGCTTTTAACGCACTATTACAGCAAGGTCGGGCTTTCGAGTTGACTATCGAGTATCAAAGATCCTTTCGTCAGCTGCAAGCATCTCTGTGCACCACCCATATGCTATTTTTTCCCGACCTGTCACCAAATGCTGAAGAATTCATTTTAGGACGGACGTCAGCGACCTAGCGATTGGAGCTGTTTTGTTACGGAAAGGACAGGATGGAATTAAAAGAGTGGCGTCGCACAGCGGTAGAAACCACTTTGCGAAAGAACAGCGTTGTTACACAGTCAGAAATGAAAGGTTGGCTTTAGTATTTTTCATAATGGAAACTCTACATTACCTGTTGGGAAGAAAGCTTTTATTGTAGACAGATTAGCAGTCACTCCACTGTTTGAAGAATTTCAGGGACCCGGAGAGACAAATTGCCAGCTGGCAGCGACAAATTCAAGATTATGATTTTGAGTACCGACACCATCCTGACCCACAACATGCCAACGCAGACGCTTTTACCAGAATTCCACTTCATGCGCATGGAGACTGCCCGTCCTATACTACACAACACGTAGCACTAGTTAACCTTCAAAGTTCGGAGTACAGCCTATGGCAGGAAACACAGGTGGCTGACCCAGAAGTGTCACTTATTTGTGAAAATCGGTGCTCGTGAGGTGATAGACCCACCGCTGAGGAAATGGAAGGATGCAGTTACGAAACTCAATGTATGTGGGCGAGGTGGGACAAGCTCACCATTAAAGGGTGTGTGTTAGTGTTTGATTTTGGTTCAAATCACGTTGAGACAATTTTGGTTTCATAGCCATTAGTTTAGAAGGCGTTGTCTGAGCTACACAAGCAGTTGGGTCATGCTGGAAGCAACAAACTTGCGGCGGTAACACGCCAAGACTTTTAATGATCACAGCAACACAGAGGCGTGGATAACTTTTGCCAGACGTGTGAGACATGCGCCACATTCAAGAACCCGAACACGGCTCGGAGGGTCCTATTACATCCTTTAATAACAGGTTATCCGAACGAGATAGTTGGAATTGATCCTTATTGTTCCTATATCAGAAACACCACGTGGGCATCTGTACATCCTGGTCATGGTCGACTATTTCACTAACTAGTGTGATGCCGTTCTGATCACACAAGCCGACATGGTCACAGTAACAAAGGGGATGGTTAATCACTGGGTTTATCAGTGGAGAGCACCGGGACAACTGCACTCTGATTGAAGCTCATATTTCGAGAGTTTTCTGGTACAGGAACATTGTCGCGTACTCAATATAAGTAAGGCACGAACGATGGCTAACCATCTTGAAGGCAACGGACAACTCGAGCATACGAATTGGTCGCTGAAGTTGCTATTGAAGTCCTTCGTGAATCGAAATGTAAATGAATGGGACTGTATGCTATCAAACTGCTTGCTGGCATATCGCAGCACTGGACACTTTACCGTACAAATACTCTTTAGGTGGACTGGAAGAGAAGTTCGGTTACCATCTGAAGTTCGACACCCAATTTCGCAACAGACACACACACATCGGTGACAGTGTATGTTAGCAGGTTCCCCGACTCTCTCTACCAGACACCAGACCGTTCTCTTTCATTTGGAGATCGTTCACCGACGACAGTATGATTATTACAACAGGAAAGTTTTCGATGTTCCTTTGAAGACGGGCGACCAGGTTTGTTTGCGCCAGGTGCCAGAGGCGTGAGTTCCAAATAAGCTACATCAAGCGTGAGCAGGACCGTACTACAGCGGATAGTATCAGATGTGACACGTATTATCAAAGACCCTAACCACCCTGTCAATCAGCCCATGATGGTGCATTTCAATCGGCTTAAGCCATTTCGGATTAAGACCGATCATACTGTCGAGGGACCGAGAAAAACGCCATCGGACAGTTGAATTGAAAGTACACGCTCAAGTACGCTATGGCGTGGCAACGGGCACGCTGCCTAAGTTGAGGGGATGTGGTGTAGCCAATAATCGTGACTGTCTTTTGGCGCATAACTGGATTTGAACCGTTGCCTTGACGGCACTCGCTGGTTTGCCTTCCAGAGTGCCTTTCCTGTGAAATTACTGGAAAAGAACAAGAACGCAGAGGCAACGATTAACTGTAGTTTCATTCCATTTTATCTCACCTAGATTCCCTTTTGTAGTGGGTACGCGTTGTGTCATAGAATTTCCCCCTCAACTTGGAGTTCTTCCTTGGTTGCATACTATAATGGTATTCAATCGTTGAAGAAGTATGTGCTTTGCTTTTTAGCTCCATCAGTTTATTGCTACTGATCATAAGCGAAGGATGCCGTGGAATCCTGAATTCCGGGTCGGTATACGCGCGTGAAGTGCACATCTCGTTCTCACTGGATTCGATCCTGACCCACTGTGTCTTGCCCACATTATACACCTGCTCCTTCTGAGAGCATTGTACATTACGCTGTACGGTAACACGGTCTGGAAAGGCAACGGTGTCATCACACGCAAAGTGTACCATGGCAAAATGCACTTTGCGCGATGCCTGAAATTGATTTTCGATTATCAAATGAAACTAGGAGTGGATGAGATGATTGATCGCTTGAAATTGAACAAATTGGTAGGGGTTGTTATACTAACATTTTCATATTACTGTACAATCAGGAAGTCGATCCAAAATTGATGAAAGAATCACGCAGTTTCTACGAGAAATACCTAAATTTCGAGCTACCTATCAAATTGGTCATGGATTTGTTCCGTGAACAGATCAAGAAAAGCTTTCCTTTGTCGCAGTTGATCTTGCTTCCAGGTACGTACTTTTCCATCTTAAGTCTTTAAGCTATATTTTACTGTATCCTCTTCGGGATGGAAGAATATGGACGCGACACACTTGCTGCTTTGTTAAAGTTGTCTAACGTGGAACTTGCCAAATCGGTCAGTTAGAAATTAGATCTTCTACCTTTGCTATATTGTTCTATAGGTATTGGAATTTACTTGTTCCGAGTTGTTTATCGACTCAGTACAGTCCATTTGGTCTAAAGCTTATGATGAAGAGTTCGTAACTAATGAATTGGTTCATCCATTCAAGAGGTTTGTTCCTTTAAGCTGAGTATTACGCGAATTCTAATTCTTGTTACACCTATTTTTCAAGTAAAGCTTTTTAGGTTTCTTTGTGTTGTTTTGCCTTATGTTGAGATGGTGTGGTTGTAGCTGAAGATGCACCCATGTAGGGTGTTTAAAGCAATTTCTTACTTAACTTGACTTGACTTATGGCTTTTTACTTTACAGACTGGAGTTAATGGCGTTAACATTGTGATGGATGTCCCAAAGAAGTACTGCTATTGTTGGTGACAGAGTTGCCGGTTGTCGTGCTTTGTATTCAAACTTATACAACTGGAGACGAGAGTAATGAAATGAACAATAGCGCACCAGCTAAATATGCAAGCCACTGTTCGCTATCATTACGAACGTGCAATAGCATCCTGATGACTGTCTGATAGATCTCTTGAAGTGTATTTGACCAGACGTATTTCTGGCTAAATTGGACGGTCAGTTTAGAATTTCTCGGATCTCACTAATAATACCTTGTTTTCTTCCTTTCCTTTGGACTTCGCAAAACCATTCAATACTGTCTACAATTCTCCTGGTAGACCCCCATCTAATCACACAACAGCCTAACTCATCCCGTTTATACGGTCACAAATGATACCAAGTGATTGGCAAATAACGCTGAAGTCAGGGAAATAGACTGATTAGACCTTGCCAAACTCCCTATGACTGGTTTTGAAATATTGGCGCGTTTTTCGTCACGCGAAACCCAGCGTCGGATTTTCTATGCAACCAATATGTCAATACATCCAGTCAGTCTTTAAACAATTTTGGGTTTGGATTGTTATGAGTATAATACAGCATACCGATGATGCAGTCTACAGACAGATTACCAATAATTTGGCGCTCCTTTTTTCACCTTGAAGCTTTCGTTGGAAACCCCTAACGTTTACACGGTATATGGTTGAATGGAGATATCAAGGTATCCGAGAGGATGAACTTCGCACAACTCAGATGAGCAAAAATGGCATATAATTGTGAACAGTTTACACAAATGTAGAAGACTAATAAGGGTCGGTTACTCGACAAAATAAGTACCACGTGCTAATAGACCACAGAGCATATACACAGGTACAACAGTAATAATATCAACAAGCGCTCCACGTCGGAGTTTCATCTGGGGGTCGCCAAGATTTGGCGATAGCTTTTCATTTGTTGATGGTAAAAAAAACATTTGTTGCAAGTGGGTGCAGTTTCGCTGAGGTCCGTGACTACTACCTTGTATGTCACAACCACGAAATGTAGTTGGAGGTGGTCCCTGCCCAACATTTTGGTGCCCCACGTTGCCATCGTCAACCACCCAAGATAACAGCTCACACAACACCTTTGATCCCCTTTGATTGCAACTTTACCTTCTGTTACTGTTTGTGTTTTTTCATGAAATCGACGCAGCCGAGTGAAGTTTATGTCGTTGGAACAGAAAACAGAAATTAAAATAATAAGAATGACTTTAGCACCTCTACGGGTCTGTTGGATTATTATATCTCCCTTCTATTTAATTTGTTAAAGATAAATAATATTAGTGTATGTGCTCTGCATTTTGGGTGTTAATGAAACGTGAACAATGGCATGTGTGCAGTTTTGAAAGTGTTATCTTGTTACACATTTTGCATTGCTGAGAAAGTGGTCACTTTTGGTGACATCAAAACCTCTAAATGACGATGTCAACATTGCGGAGTCTTCCAAGGTGATCTTTCTTGCTTGGGCAATCGCTAAGACTCCGCTTTTGTGTTGCGAACAATCCGCATATCCTCCGTGTATAACCATAGTTATTTTGTGTCGACAGTGAATTAAAATCAGTCTTCCTAGATCTCACCATGCATAGATGTGCTATGGAGACGATTATGTCTTGCGAACGGTTGAAGCGCACACCTCGCATTGCATTTCATAAACTATTCGGCTGTTCTACCATGTGGCTGGTGGACAAATGCTGCTTTATGATCTACATTTCACGCCACATAACTTCCTAAGTGCAGTTCCAAAGACTTGAGCGAGCGTCGACCCTCTATTTATTAAATCCACGGAAGGGATGTCATACTGCTGCTGCACATTCCGATAAGGCAGTGACTGCCAATATAAAGTTTATCTCGAACCATGAACTTCATTTTTTATGTGGCGGAGAGGCTTATGTTTGTTAAACCATGTGATAAGCCATACGATTTTTATGGATAGCTCACAAGATTACTTCGTACTGGCGAGATGTAAATTTGGCTCCCATTAATACCTACTGTGCATTCTATATACCTTTATTTCTTTCCACTTTGACTTCAGGTGCAAGCTGTGAATTATTTACAGAATCGCAACAGCTTTATACAAAATGAATTTCACATCTATGTGTCCAACAGCTACAAGAACGTTGCTTGATAGGAACTAAACAAACTGCGGGTTTGTATCGATCTGCACTCACTCCTTTGCCGTAGTATGCGTAAAATAATACAAAATTATAGTTTCTTGTACTCAGGCAATTGGTCTGGCGCAAGTTGAGTACATTTGTTTATATACACACATCCGGAACGTGACCCGAGCGTTGTCCCGAAACCCTCTTTCTTTTCTCTCACTTGTTAGCTTTCTTGGGTGCCTGTTTGACTAGCGAGCTTGTGGGTCTGGGCAATAAACGCATACCTCTGCCACTTTTATCTGCTTTTTATTGTGCGAACGCAACTGGTCATATTGTCTTTCGCACACCACTGGAAAATCTTCCCTAACGTTTAATGGATAACCAGGTGACCGACTTAGAACTCTCTACACTTTGAAGCGCTGCTGCTACTGGTGAGTGATTGCTTATCCATCTCACCTCCGAAGCAGCCGATACTTACTTACTTTCGCCCCATAGTGAGGTTATTCTTCACTATGTGATATGGAGAGCATCCGATAGCCACTTGTATACCTGCGGCGACAACACTTCGCAGTTACCTTTCAAAATGGATCCTGGTCCAGGCTGTTTATGCCCGTCACAGCTCAACCACATAGTAGTGTAAAGGGATCAATGTGTTGTGTTGTTAATAGACTGTCACCTCAATCAACTAAGGTAAATGGTTTGCTAAATATCAAGCGCCCTATTATTCTGTCCGGTCCGTTCTTGTTTGTGGGCCGTTTGGACCAATTTGACTTTCCCACTCTTAAGTCATATATATATATATATATATATATATATATATATATATATATAGTGTGGTTTGTGTAAAAACTGATTTGATCTCCTGACAATTGTACTAGGGATGAATGCAGGTGTCAACTTTAAACTCTCACAATTCAATTTAATGAAGCCTGTGACAACCTTTCTACAGCAAACATACTCATCGCCACTGCCCACCCAGTGTCCGAAATTATTGAAGGGGATTAAAGAGAAAATCGTTGACCGCCATTTTGCATCAGCTCACTTTGGTGGCATTGTTTTTGTGACCTGATTTCATTTGTAGGTGACCTCATTTCTTCCAACTCTAACCGCTGAGTTAGTGATAAGTTGTGTATCATACTTTAGTATGGATAGGCCTCGCGGAACTCAATGGCCTAGAGATTATACAGATAGCCGACAACCGCTATGTGCCGAATCTCACTCCCAAATCAGGTTATCTCTACTCGATCGGTCCAAACAAGGATGAAACGCGTCTTGGAATGCAATGATAGAAGAGCAACACCGAAACCCTCCACTTCGAATGCGGTCCCAGTGATCAGAATTGCAGAGGATGACTTCAAAGTCAACCGAGGCCACAACTAAGATTGTGTGTCTCAATACAAGACAAAAGTCGGGGCTCCAAGAACCCCACAATCAACGAATGGCCCTTGTTAAAGTTATAAAGATGCTTCTGCTTGTAACTGATCACAACTTCTGTTTGACACCCTATTGTTGTCGACCGTGATATCACCTTGCTCTGAGTGTGCCATGCAGTTGGGTGCGAAATGCTGTGTTTTGCACTTAACCCGAGGTGGTGCCCATATCCCTTCGCATCCCAGAGAAACGGACTATATTACACTTCTGGTGAAGTATATGGATCTGCATAAGTGCTCAGTAGCGACTTGACCTTAAATCAATTCGCATTAGCCTCGACGTTCCCGTGTGGTGAGGACGCAGTGATATGTAGGGTATGAGGAATGATTTTGAAAACACTTCGCACGCTGAATATCGTTGGACGATACACCTTAGTTGTCAACAACACATCAAGCTTTGTTTTTTCGGCTTTGTTGACTGCCGAGCACCGTAGGTCCAGAACGTAGCATGCTGCAAGTGCCAGTTCCGTGCCCCGAAAATCATTCGGCATTGTGATATTCTCGGATGCCCCACCATCGAATGTAATGTCGTTGAAATACAGTTGTGCAGTTAATTCTTTGTGTGGTTTTGCTTTCATGATTAAAAACAACCCACTTACCCAGTAGCCTTTGGTCAAATGTAAGTTAGGTCGGAGATTGGACTATCTCATATTCTTCCTGACATAATAACCTTACACGCCGCGGCGTTTGCGAAGCACCGGTTCACTCGCAGCTAGTTTTGAACAGACAGTGATTTACATAGTTCAACAAATTAGCTGGCACCTCGCCATGGATTGTTAATTAACGTCGAATGGGTTCCAATGACAATGAGAGACGTTCTGCTCGTGGATACACTGGACTCCAGCAGATTCATTGAGAGGATAGAAAGTTATCCATGCCGTACTTACCTTACATTGGGGTACTTCGTCATGGGCGTGAGGGAACGCAGTAACAAGCGGTCAAAAAGCTCTTTAATCGTCCCAAGTTAGTGGTGGTAAAAGCAAGCGAAATGTACCAACAAACAACACATGGGTATGCAAGAGTATCTGTATGCTTAGTGTGACGAATGCATTCGCCGAACTATTTTATCATTTTCTATTGTTTCCTCGTTCGCAATTCTATTACTGTGCAATCTAGAACACTGTTTCAAAGGTAAATCATCTTCACTATCGGTGTATCAACCATGGTCTCTGGTGCTAATGCATACTAAGCCTACTCTTTTTATGGTTTTATTGCTCTGTTTTGCACCACTAGGATCAAGCTATGCCTCCAGCCGCTTACGACCCTATGTTTTTGGAGAATCAAAGGAAGCTATGACATTTATCACTGGCAACTCTTAAATTATGTGGGCACCTCGAGACCAATCACTTAAGGCGGAGGATGCGGCGAACTTCTTGATACTTTCTGATGCACGCCACTCCTCTTGTTTACCACTCCCTGTCCGAGTATACCTGTGACTATCGCGACACTGTTTCCTTATGTGCTCAGTCAAAATAATACTAGAAGCATAATTGCGAGCCATCAAACAGTTGGGTTTGGGTCAGAAATTGCTTTCTAAGTGCGATTTTCCTGTTTTTATGCCAATAACATGTGAGGGTTTTCCAGATAAGAGTATTGTACTGTTCAAATGTGGGTACCACTGTCATCGTCCTCCATTACGACGCGAAGTACGGGATCCGTAATCATATTCCTGAGTACTTAATGCTGTACAGTGAACAAGTGAGCTAGAAAGTGTCTGAGATAACTCGTCGAAATTTGGTCGAACGCACAAGCTGGATAAGGCTATTAACTTCTGCGCATTTTCAACCTAGAAAGTCTGTAAAATGTAATGTTTGATTACGACACGACCTCTAAGTCTATAGTCCGTAAAGTGAAGTTTATGAATTTCTTGAGTTCCGAGATTGATTTTACCTCTACTAGTGTCTAGCAAACTGTCCCATTATCCCAACACTCAGCACCCGAAACACAGAGGGTGAGTTGCCCGTTTTATATCCTATGCTACAGGCTAGTGCCGGTACGCGTAGGTGCAACAACAGTCTTAGTATGATGTAGTTATTCGGATGTAACCCATTAGTGTGAAGGTTCACACGAATTATTTTGCGCATCTGACCATCCTAAGTACGCCACTCATTGTCCCTCATCGCCAGAGAGGGAAGGTGGCGAAATACACTAAAATTTTCGCACCTTACTGTTTGGTATCAGATCGACTCAAATCCATTGGTGCACAGTAGAGCGGCTAAACAGGGTAACGGTAATATTATGTTATATATTAAAACAGCAGCATATATGAACGAGCCTACCCTAATCACTTCGACTGCGAAGGTCTTCCAACCTGACAGTTTTTATTTTCACGGATAACTGATAGCTCATATTTGAGATATCATCAACCTATGCATAAGTGGAAACAACATCGCAATGGTGATGCTTGACATTGATAACACTGTAAATCACCATTACTGACTCATAGTGGGAAATTCTGCAAGTCACACGTAACAGTAAATTACTAATATTTTAGGAGGGGAATGACGAATGCTTCTTATGTTCTAATAAATTCTCAGACTGAGAATTTCATGCCTGAGCATGGACTTACTATACGATAAATTTCTCTGTAGGAAAATAACAACACCCACTTGTATGTTCCTCTTTACACGTGTTTTCAACAGTCTCCGGTTAGCTCTTGAAAAGATCCCAGTAAGTTTGACGTTCTGAGATTCGGTGAAATGTATGTAGCATCCAGCCACTATTTGCGGTTATAATCCGATGTTACTTCGAAGTCCTGTACATACAGAGAAGGAACATTTCGGTTGAATTCTAGTCGACTGTAGTGTCCAGTAAGCTTCTATTGGCGACCATGCAGGTGTCCATTGTGGCAGTTATTTAGGACTGAACTGCATGTCTGATTAGATTCACTCTATATCTGACATCACATTACTGGATTACCACCCAGTTCTCGTTAGGAACCATTAGATACCCTGTTATCTGAAGCGGTTTTTGTATGATAATCATCGCTATGTCGTGACTTTTCGTTGCTTTTTAATCGGTTGCGTACATAGCAACTATCTGCAATGTGTTTATAGCCGTTCCTTCAGGTTCCAATATGTTTACTTTTAAAATACCGAGAAGCAACAACAGTTTAACAGGACACATTGAGTTTACCTATTTCGGGTATTCTTATAAGCTTATGAACCTAGTCGAGTTAAATACCGCTTTTCCATCTTTTTGAATATAGCCCAAATTAGTCAACATTTTCATACCTTCCAATTAACTTAACTTCTGAATTTTGGTAATACAATTTATACTCTCCGTTATCATATACTTATACAGGTGCAGGGAAGATATAGCAAATTACAGAGAGGTATTCTTGGCTGAGTTAAGTGGAGCTCATGATCGCATAGAACCACGGAGTACAGGTATACTTGACCTTTCATATTTTGCCTAATCCGCTGTTGCAGCCACGAAACCATTTAATCTAACACAACCCAAAGCAAGAGCAATACCTGTTCCGGAACCGGTGAGTATCAATTATCCACCCTAATCTGCTTGCTCATCAGATCCTCAGCAAAAGACTGCTTCATAAGGTTCCCGCATCTACACACAGTGAACCGATTGAATTTCGGTTACTGGAAGAAGCAAAGAAACGAAACAGAGATAGTGTAAGTGTATTGATGTGCACGTTTCATCTTAATACTGTGGTCTGAACATGTAGATATAAAAAGATGTACGATTAATTTTGATGGCCAACTCACGTCAGACGTAATCACCGGTGAATTTGCCTGTTTTCAGTCAGTTGCTACCGTTTGAGGCATACTCATTACATTCTCATGCGCGGGTTACACCCATTATACCCGGAATTCGTATTACGCATGCAGAATTGATAAGTGGACTAAGTTATCCAGTCGGAGCAATGCGTGACGAATGCAGTTGTCCCGAATTCGGTTTCCATCTTTTACTAAAGGGTTCTAACAAATGGGAACTCCCTCGTGCAGTATGGTGATTGGGGCACGTCCGACGGGAGATCTTATCTCACCCATAAACCTCTTACTACCCCAGAATATGCGAGGGGGAGTAATAGTTGTGAATTAACAAATTTAGGGTATTTCAGTTACATTATATAGCGTCCTCACCAACCGACGATTGGCTTGTCCGGTTCGGCACTGTTCACTTTACCTGCCTTAGTTACTGTTCCAGAGGTCTAACTTTCGCCGAGTGACCGTTAGCCTTTCTGTCTCTTGATTCGGTTCCTAGGAGCGAGTTTCTAGTTCAGGCGCTTTATGCCGATTGTAGCTGGGATTGGAGATTTTTTGGACAGGTTTTATTTGTAACTGGAATTGCACAGAATGTAGAATTAGTTGAACGAACAAAGCCATGAGTTCTCACCTGTCTGCTGTTCCATAGATCTGAATGATTAATTTTTACTACCATTTCTAATTCCGATTTCAACTAGAGATGATCAAAAGAGAGTGTTTCATCACGAGTAGTTCGTTTTCGCAGTAAAGATTTCGGCAGTTGAAGCAACCATTTAAGTTGGCCATACGGGCAAAATTGTGGATTGACCTTGAGCAGCCAACCGGTACCTGCGTGCCCTGCACTGGCATTCTTCCATGGTAACGAAAGTGAGTAAAGGCGGATCAAAGGTAAGCTGCGAATAACACCACCTCGTGACATAATACACAAATTAAACGATACAAAGGCTATTTCAATATAAAGGGCTTTGTAAAGAAGGTGTGGAAATGCCTGTCAGAAGTCTGTGTCCGATAACTTTACCACTTCCTCGAACAGCACCTTCCGGGAAGCAGTCACACTACAAGACAACCGAGTTGCACTCCGGCATCAGTCGGATCGTGGTGCTATGCAACTTCCTCGACTAGGCATTATGAGTTGGCAATTAAGTGGAATTTAAAAAATGGCATAAGATGGAGTCGGTTCTTTCCATCAGTGTGCAATAAGTATGCTGCAAACCACCACGGCGTTGCTGATAATGCACACGGGACATACACAAGTCGTGCGGTGTTTCGGAGAACCATAAATGCCATAATGCAAGAGCAATCTTAGTTCCTACCCTCAAGACCAGTACTACTTCCCTCCTCCATTAGATCAAACATGGAAGGTTAATTTATTCTTGGTATATCTGGTGCGGCTTATCGGTGTCAAAACAACATACGAGAAATAATATCAGCGACATAGTTGCGTGATCGTTGGTCAAAATTAGCGTTCCAAACCCTTTTTAGGTAACAGTTTACAGCTCTTAATGGACTTGGAATCCGATGATATTAAGAGGCCCATGTCATCCACTTGAGATGCGTGCGAAATCTCACTCCCGTTATCACAGCCCTTAGATGGAGTACAAAAAATTAACTGTAATTAACAAACTAAACTGCATTTCCTTGGCCAGTTCACGACGCAGTCTAATTGAGTGGATTGACCAATTTGTACAGGTGGACCGCATAAAACTTAAACGACTTCTTGATTGATTCCTGTGTTAAATGTGTTAGAAAAACTAAGCAGTTGATAATTATACCAAATACATTTATTACCAAGCATGCAAATAAAGTAATACGGCGAGCCTTGGAATAATTTCCTTGGGACCTGCGTCTTTAAGGCGGACTAATCCCGAAGTCAGTCATTAGATGTAATGAGCCTGAGTTCTGCTATACACTAAGTCTTACGCTACAAAAAGGGACACCGTACTCCTCTTCAGATTTCTAGCCAGAGACTAACACTGCTGATGCCAAATAACCGGGAGACTAGGTTAGAACTCAATAAAGTACACCTATTCTCCATGTAAATCTACCGAGATCCCTCAAAGGGTTCATACGAAGGAGTCACCTAGTCGTACCTCACATGAACGGCGGGATTATGCGGCGGTGTCGAACACTGGAAATGTTAAACAGGAGTAGTTTTGTTGCATGAACCTGATCCAAAGCGTCACTTCAACTCTGATGAGCAGCCAACAAATTGATGATATCGGAATAGCTTATATGAAAGTCATATTTGGGCCTACTGAACGAGTCAAAAGCATCACAATTGGGCTACTGTAACAGCTTATTTAACTAAACGTCATGCGATTCACTGGGCTGTTTTTGTTGCCATATTTCGAGGTTGGGGCAAATGTCTGCCTCTTTCCAGTCGATAGGTAGAGGGCAGAACTGATAAAGTTCTTGTACTAGCACATGATTATTTGATAAATTTCATATGCCAGTTTACGCAACGGTGTTTGGCGAGTAGTATCCGCATGGCTACTTGCTCATTTCCCGCGGGAGCCCGACTGTTCGACTTCCGAATTTAGGGGAAGAATCCATCGTAACTCATCACGGAATTTATGCGTGTTGAGTTGGTCCCTAAAACAAAGGCCCACCCCACACACCACTTCTGTCAGACAAGCACCCGTGGTCCATCTGCGGACAGTAGTGTTGTATCCAATCAATATTACAGAAGGCAGACCCACAATTCTTCCCCCTACTACGTAAACAAAATATCACTCTGGGTCTACTGAAACTGTTACCTAATTCCAGTTCATTACTGGATTAAACAGCTACTATGTGCTTTTCTTGTTTTGTTCTATGTTTTACGAAGACATCGGAACCCTGTGCTTTACGTTTCGACGGGCTTTATCTACGAGTTAGAAAAGAGCAAGAGCATGTTCCGACCTCAACAGATTTGCAGAAGCAAAGACGGAACTTCGGTTTATACAAGAGTGTTTGCAACACAAACAGTATCCTAAGGCTTATTAGAAGTCGCTCAGACGATGTCATTTGCGCACGACGACAAAGTCCCTAAAACACCATGCTCACAATCTGTTGGATGCTGTTCAATCCCAGGTACCTGAGATGGAACGACTGCGTGCACTTTACAAACCAATTGTCGAAGAGCTTGGTACAGCCCATCGTGAATCTGTTAAGCAATACGCGCAAAGCACGTACACAAATATATTAGAATGAAAGTACAAAACGCTCCTAAAAGCTTACATCCAACGCAACCGGAACGTAAATTCCCACTCAATCCAGGGAGTTGTGTGCATACTTTCTCCAGAATACCGTCGAAACAACTTCAGCTAGAGGCATTATCCCTCTGACTCAAATTCTGTCTTGCCTAACCCGTCAGTAGACAAGTCCATATAGAAACGCATATTGAAAACTTAGCGCACCCACTAGCCGAATTAACACCTACATCTCCTCTAGCCAGAAACACTCAAAACCACCTTATTACACCTCTGACAACAGTATCTACTCTGCGAGAAGAGATCATCAAACCTTCTGTCCCAGAAGCTTCTGGAAGCAATCAAGGAACTGAGATCAAACCCCGACCTTATTCTTTTTAGGTCTGATAACATATCGGGATGGTTATATAGGGACAAATCAGAGTACATTTCAAAGTTATAAGTTATCCAGAAGGAAAAGATAGCAGAAGATGAATCAAAGATTACAAAGATTTCGGAAAAATTAAAACAGATAAACTTAACCGCAGTTCAGCTTCAGCAGTTAACGCCAGTTGCCTCCCAACCTCCTACGCTCTATGGTTGCCTAAAGTACACAAGCCTCACTTCCCTTTACGTCCAATACTTGACATGTCCACTTCTGCACACTACTTAGTTGCACAATGGATTGTGCAATTGTTGAAACCTGTATGTAAGGGGCTCTTTATCTATTCTCTGAAGGATTCGTTCGAATTCGTTGTTATAGTCAAAAACCTGAATTTAAACTAATGCTTTCTTTTGATGCAGAATCACTTTTCACAAACATCCCATTACTAGACACGGTCAATTTCATGTGCGAGTATATAACGTAAAAGAGCCTAAACATTGGTATTCCAGTGCCTAAACTAAAGAAGCTAATTTGACTGTGTACCTTTAATAGACAATTCTTGTTTGACGGGATATATTATAGGCAAATCGATGGCGTGGCGATGGGGTCATCCCTTGGACCCGTCCTTGCCGGCATCTTTCTCGTAAAGCTTCAGTGTGGTCCTATCCAAACAGTTATTGCCTCATTTGATTCTTACTAGAGGTGTATAGATGACAATTTCACCATCTGGGATTCTCGCACGTATGTCAATTGTGTGCTCGACCTGTTCAATAGTGCACATCCCTCAATGAAGTTCGCTAGTGAAACTGAAAATGGAGGTAAACTGCCTTTTCTGGACGTTTTGTTGAAGAGGCGCGAGGACGGCTTACTTGAGCGAAGTATCTTCCACAAAGCTACATAGGTTGGCCAGTGCACACACTTTTCGAGTTTCGTTAAACTGAAGTACAAACGCAACTTATTGCGTTGCTTGTATTATGGGGCCAACAGAATTTGTAGTCCTGAAACACTCGAGGGTGAGAAGGACTGAATTGTGAAAACGCTTCTTTAGCATGCTTGCCCTGAATCTTTCAGCAAAAAGCAAGCCATGACCCGTGAGAGCCATAAGCCCGTAGCAACGGTTTCGAAGAAGGATGTGTTTCTCTCTGTCGCTTTTAAGGGAGATATTGCCTTCGATCTGAACAGATTTTCTGACGCCTTAGCAAGGACCTACCCCGCTGACTACCCGCATGGACTTGTGAAGGCCGCACACTTCATAGCTCAACCTCTTAAAGACAGACTGCCAGTGTCGTCAGAATCGTGCATTGTTTACCAAGTTACTTTCACCTGTGGTGCCTCGGACATACCACCAAGCGTCTGTCGGTAAGGATGGCTGAGCACTGTCCAGGGTCACTGCGGAGCGACACGCTCAGAAGTATCAACAGTTCTGTCTTGGAACATTGCTTCAAAGTGGGTATCCGATGTTGACTCAAGATGCCTACAAGATCTATTATGCCGTACCGAGGCGATACCCGAAGGGTTAAGGAAACGCCTCTTGCAGACGGCTGAAGCCATCGCGATCAGGCTAACACAGCCAGAGCTATGCAAGCGTAGTGTACTTGTGCAACCCTTGACTTTGTCGTGGTCCAGATGAGAAGTCGCGCTCCCGGAGTATTACGCATAACCGGGTGCTCTTTATTTAGGTAATTAGCTATTTTTGTTTTGTTATTATTTTCACCTCTGGTTACACAAGTTGTTTCGCTGTCTGTTAGCCCTGTCACTACGTCACCTGAGTAAATCGATGCGAGCATCGAACGAACGTGCTAAATCAGTTCAAACCGTTCCATCCGTCCTCATTTTGCCTTCCCCAGTTTACCGTGGTCCTGTAGCTGTATTTGCCTGGTGTGAACTACCGAAAAGAAATCTCTTTGAAATTCTGTGTTTTACATCGGAAGATGCTGTCACGAGTGAATCTATAAACGCTCGGTCTATCTATTCAACATCTGATCTGCAATATAGTCGCCTAATTTTGATTGCGACGCTGTTCTCTTTCTCATTGCTTTCGGGAAATGAGGAAGGGACGCCTTGACAATACCAGTTGTGGAGATGGTCGAAGCGAATTGGTGATTCTGACTGCAAGAAGATTCTCAGTCCGGCGATTCGGACCTTTGCTAATGCGCTCTCGATGGTCCCCAGTGGCACCACACTTAAATTATGGACATGTATAACGCCATGTATGACTCAGGAGCATCTCTTTGTGGTACTATCATTCGTCACCACACTAGTCACTGGATATCCGAGACGTTGGTGAAGCAGTTGGAATCCAGAAGAAAACTACCGACTGGCTTTTAGCACAATGTGACCAAACGGACTGTTAGGCGCAAACTAAAGCGGAATGTGTGTGCTGACAAGGAAGCCTGGTACACCAATCAGGCTCAAGAAGTAGAGGAAACGGGAGCAGTAGGGAACTGTCGCAAGCTGCTCCATTTGATCCGCACGACCGGTCCCAGGAAACCAGGAGTCAGTGAGACAATCAGAGACAAGGCGCATGTCATGATTCACAATAAGCAGAGCCGTGTGACTCGTTGGGCGTAGGACTTTCAAAATCGATTCATTTGGTATCATGCTTCCGTACCTCTTCCTACTCAAGTAATACAGAATGAGCCATGGACGGCTAGTTTAGAGGATCCATCGGAGGCCGAGATCCGAAACGCGATCACACCCCTCAATCGTCTTCGGTATGCTGGCCCGGATTCCCTCCCACTTGCACTATTTAAGGATGGAGGTAAGGTCTTCTGAAAAGCCCTGATCTCGTTATTCGACCTTGTCTGGAAGGAAGAGACCATCCCGGATAACTGGAATGAATCGATTATAATGGCAATATACAAGAAGGACAGTCACACAGACTGTGCTAACCAAAGGGGTATTAGCCTAACGCCGGTGGTAACAAAATTACTGAACTTACTTCTCCTCTGGCGCCTCACCGCGGAATGGGAATCCCGGATTAGGGAAGTGCAGGCAGATTTCCACCCTGAACAGAGCTGTATAGAGCATATATTCACTCTGTGCCAGATATTAGAGCAGCACCACGCATACCGCAGACTGACAAGAACTGTGTTCCTCGATTTCAATAGTGCGTTCGATTCAGCCGATCGATGCATTCTGTACGAAATACTTGCGCGGAAAGCTGTTCCCATGAATGATGTGAACATGTTACGGGATGTATATCCGAACATGACAGGCCGCATCAAGGTCTACGGTGACCTGTCGGATAGCTTTCCGATAACCAGTGGCGTTCATCAGGGTTGTCCGCTTACCACGATTTTGTGCAACTTCGCGGTGGGCTCCATCATGGAATGTTATCTTGCGTAATCTCACTTTGGAGGCTTTAAGATGCTGTCTGGCGTAACGCTACTTGATCTTGATTAGGCGGAGGATATTGTCTTGCTGTTTAACGCTGTTGAAGCGGCCCGATAAACCCTGAATAACCTCTCTAGAGCAGTCTCATTATTTGGTATGCGCTTCGCGCCTTTAAACTGCAAGCTGTTACTGCAGGACCACCAGCCAGTTGATGGAGTCTTAACCCTTGACAACGAAGAACTCGAGGTGGTTGATCGATTCGCTTACATTGGCAGCTGCATCATCAACGATAGGCGCATAGCAACTGAAGTCAGTTCACGCATTGCAAAAGCCAGAACTGCCTTCTTGAACCTGCAGCATCGTTTGCGACAGAAGGGAGGTTCCATCCGTCTGAAAGACTGTGTTTAAAAGGCCACAGTGAGGGCCGTCCTACATTATGGGAGTGAAAATTGACCCCTTCGATCTGAAGAGTTGAGGCGCTTTCAAGTCTTCCATCATCGCTGTCTGCGGCGCATTGATGGTGTCGGGTGGCACCAGCGTGTCCGCAACGATGACGTGTTTAGGCGAGTACTAGGCAGTGCTAACCAAGCTACTTCGTTAGAACAACAGCTAGTACTGAATAAGTTGCGTTTACTTGGGCAGATAGTACGTACGCCAGGTCACCGTTTACTCAAAAGGGCCTTGCTTTGTCTGTAAGATGTTGAGTGGTGCATGGTTCGAGGTGGGCGAAAGTTGACTTAGCAGCGGGAAAGGAAGTCACAGACAACCAAACTTGGTACTGTTGGTCCGTCTGACCTTCCAAATTGGAGTTCACCTGACGCCTTGTGCTTGGCCAGACTACAGGACATAGCTCGCTGACGGCACCAGTGGCGCGTCTGTTGTCGTCTCGTAGTCAGACTGCCTGTTTAAAAGGTATTTGGTGCTGAGTTATTTGCGGGTCAAAGGATGATCATGATGCGGGGCAGTGAAAACCACAGAAGCGGTCTCACTGATGCCGTCTTATCTTTGCACGATAGCCAGAGGTTTGTGACAATATGCTGTTGACAAGGTGTAGACACCTTGATCCTGAATGATTGCTTATGGCATTAGGGTTTCTGGTGAGTCCCATTTTTCTCCCTCCTATTATTCCTCTTTTCGTAGGTTCTTATTATCAAATGGCAACGAACCACCGTTCAAATTGCTGATATGCTGCTGTTGCTGCTGCTGATGATAACGGCTGACAGCGGACGATTACTTGGTGGCCGTCGAAAGTTTTGCTGAGCGTGGCAGTTTCGTTGCAACAAAATTGCCAAGCTCAGCGAACAGTTCGGCCGCCACCAGAACAACCTGACTTCTCGATTTTCTCTCCAACTTCATATGAATTATCCACGAATATCATATATTTAGTGCTGACAAGTTCCATGATAGACAATGGCTTAACATGCAGAAAAGTGGTGAACCAGCTGACAAAATCTTTTTAATTCAGCATGATTTTGGGTGAAGTAAATCAGCTATCAGACCCTTTGGCGGCATCTCGCATAGCAGACCATTTCAGCTAAATGATTTCAACTACACTTGTTCACGCGACCATAGACGTGTTCAGGACTGCTGTCAGCTGACGCGATTTCAATCAGTCTTATGGGAGTATCAGCTCCGAACAAAATAGCCTGAACTACTTTGTTTGATTTAAATGTTTATCAAGACCTGACTCCAACAACAACTCTCCCAGTAGCAGCAAAAGGGTGGTTAGGTATCAGTATTACATAAATATAAAATAGTCTTACCTGTCCATGATGTTTAAAGACATGCACGTTTTTGTGAACACAAAAACATCTAGATGAACATCGTCTAAAAATGAACCAACTTCGCACCACGTATTTTATAAGCTTGTTGGATGTGCGTCGAATACCGGTTGATAGCGATGAAATGCATGACATATGTTAAATGCGGCATGATAGAGAAAGTCAAGACAGCTGAGCCCAACGTATGTTGCCAAGGCCACAATGTATGAAATGTGAACCAACAGAAGAGGGGAGCAACCTAACGAGCAACTCATCAGGTAGAAAGTGTTTACCGGATATACAGTTAGTAAAACAAGTGAACAGTCGGATGGTACGAAGACCAGTAAAATCCAATCTTGTGAAATACTGAGACAGCACATATTGCATGGTCACTCCGAGCTACATAAATCACCTATATGATGAATTCGGGGTTCTCCTTTGCCTAAACTGGTTCCGGCGGATGGGATTGGACTGCTTGCTCAGTACTCATAAACCGGTTTCCATCCCCCTCTTCGCGACATACTTGGATGTTGAGTAAAACTCTCACTACTCTTCCTCTTATTCGCTTTCCCACAGTAGCCGCAAGTGCTTGCAAACGCTGTACATTAAATCAAAATCACCGTCCCAATGCTTACCCACAAGTGATTCTACCCACGAACACTAGTCCTCCTGTAATCGCATTTGTCATCAGATCGTCCAGAAAGATTATTCATTGTTTGTCGCCGTGGAGCTGTGGTTCGAACTATTTATAGGTTGTGTGAACTTAATACTCGACATCGGATACTTATGTGACTTTAGGTGGGAAGGTGGGCACCAAATATTTCGTATGTCTTTTCATCCCTTGACTTGTTTGTATTGGAACACCGAAGTGTAGCAAATCTAATCTGGATACTTATATTGGTGCGTCAGTCACCTAATTTCTCTATCATCCTTCATCCATTTAAGCCATTGCTTTAACCGGCATGTCACTTTCATTTTATCCTATCAGGTAGAAAAATTAAGGCTGCGTTCTGAAAGAGAGCAACCTGACTGTGCCCGCAGCAAGCCAAAATATCTAAAGAATGATCAATTATGCGAAGACACAGAACCTTTTGTTGAACGAGCTTTTCAAGCAAGAAAGGTTCCGGATCAGAGGAGTGAACCAGCGCAAGTCCACCTTAACACTGCGACTATTCTTAGAGAATGGAAATTATATGCAGATGCAGAAAAGTCTTTGAGAAAAAGGTGCGCTCACTGTAACATTCTTTTCCACTTGGATTGATTTTTCTATTTGTATGCTCCACTCGATATCCTGTTCAGGGATTTACTTCAAGCATAGTCACATTTAAGTGTGATTTTAGGAAAACATTCCATCCTTTCTACTTTATTGCCGCCGAGTCTAGTGATGCATCTTCCGATACTCGTCAAGCAACCTTATAGAGATTAAAATCACCGTTCTTGTAAACCAGCTTTACTTCAAATTATGTTACGTGTGAGCTGAATTTTGCGCCTATAATACTACATCCTTGGCCATGATTTCACTGTGGGCACCGTTCTCTTAATACTACATACGTTTACCAGCCTCATATGAAATGACCCTTGCATACGTGTTAGCTGAAATGAGGACGTTCGTCCCTGCTGGTGCCTTTCAACTAATCGTTTTTAACTCGCGCAAGCAGATGTATGTGTGCTTCGTGTTACTGGTAGTAGGCTCGCTATCCCAAGTCAGAACCAGCCTGCTCAGACTAGATTTTGCGATACAATTTCAAGTGTAACTGTGCAAATCTATTCAACTGCTCGACGTATCAACACCCAATAAATGGTGCAGCACCAAGCGCATAGACACCGATCGTCAAGAGGGGGCATTGCTGACCTATTTGTTTCGCACGCAAGGATATAGCAAGAGGAACAAGGTAACGCAAGCGAACTCATGCTACTGGTTACTTAGTAGATGGTAAAGACAGAATTGAAAAAATCGACTGGGGCCCATGGCACACAAAGATGAGCACATCGCACGTGTAGGTAAAGGAGACCAAGTGGGATTGCGCACGCATAAGCATCGTGGGGGTCTGAACGAATTCCGAGGCTTCTGCACAAAGGGGGGCGCACCAATATAGTTTGGCACTGGTTTGGCACAAGGGTCTAGAGGAGAGGCGAGAGGAGCGTTACCCGAGATGTGCGAGGAATACTGCCAAAGCAGCGCATAAATCTAGTGTCATTCCCTTTGCTACCAGTTGTGAGATATGGATTGAAAAAGCAATATAGCTGCATAATAGTTCCGTTTCTCTACCCAGTTGCGGCAATGATTCGTCACTCCAGATCCCGGGGAAGCAATGCTGGCAGAAAGCTGTCGTTGTAGTTGGATTTTGCTTTTATTGTAACGTTAACTACTGTCATTTAGGCAGTAGTCAAATATCAACCAGAAAACGGTCAACGAAATATTTTTATCTACCGACTGTGACCGTACTTGCACAATACAAACTTGCATGTTGTGATTAAGTAGGAGCTAACTTGAACACTTACATTCAACGTCGTAAATTAAAGTACTCAATAAATCGTCGCTCCATGTATCTCGACAACAGTTTTCATTGTCTGCGTCCAATCATGCGGTATCCAATGCAGTGGCATTTTCCTAATCAGTGACCGAGACTTGATTCTCCCCCGGTTCCTCTATTTTTTGAGTCTGTTTGTCCCTCACCTCCGTTTTAGCTGCCCTCTCCAACAACGACCTCAACCCAATAGGATATTATTTTTGGCTTTTGCGGTTCGTAATGTTTAATCGCTTATCATTCCCGTATTACGGCACATTAGCTGTCTGTTGCTCACTCTCGACTAAGGTGTATTAATGATGATGATGGATGCCGATCAGAAAGGTACGGTGAAATCCAAACATTTAAATTTCCTGATATATCGTAGGGAAGCACTTTTGCTAAAAGCTTCCCACATGGTACCCGATCTAATGACTTATACACATCAAGGAATATAATGGTCAGACGTTTGTTACCGTCGATGGAATTAGTTTAGAAACTGCACTTGAACGTATGTATATAATGGTACTCCTAGAAGTCTGTGCTAAGTACTGATGGTTAACTTCCGAGACTAAGGGAATTCGATGATTTTGACTTTCCCTACCACTTTCATAGTCATGCGTAGAATAAAGTTATGGCTGATGGGCCGGTAGTTCATGTCTAACTAACTTACGTTACTTCTACACCTTGACGTAACCGGCGTATACTTCCACATACCTAAAACAATTACATACTTAATAGCTAAAGTGAAACTGTTTTGCAGTAGTATGGGAATCTCATGGTCTTCGAATTTAAACTCAGTAGCTGGTATACCATCCAGGCCTGGATAAAAACTGGACAACAATGAGTCGATTAGCATATTTTCGTTGGTTTTTCGTATTATACTTCATTGCTGAAAGCAGTCGTTTCGGCATGGATATCCACCATAGGTGACTCGCACGCTCCTATGAAAGACTAGAAATGGTCATTGGAAGCTTCACATGTCTCATCAGGTTTCTCAAGGCTGTTGGAAGTTACTATTATGTGAGGTGGTATATCAAGCTTAAAAGTGCTCCTCAGTTTACATAAGTTTATTGCAGGAATCTAGTGTATTCGTCGTACCAATTATAAAAGTTGAAACTTGTTTCTTTCTGAAGTGTAACATAAGTTGACGTTGCCGATTCATCAAACGAAAGCTGTTAGCCCTTCAGAATCTATATCGCTGTTTCTACAGCTTTCTTGTTATAGGCGAGAGTAACAAAGTCCGGCTTATCTAGAGGAAGGTGAGCCTGTGAGGTGTCTTAACGCCTTATCATTGCGTGTGCTTACTGTTTAACTCGAATGATAGTTGGTTTTTACTTCTGTCTATGGTATCCAATTATGGAGGCAAACAAACATGTTTGTGAGCAAGTACACTTAATTTACCTACGCCATTTAGTTACGCAGCGCTCTATAACTGTGCCACATTTCCCATTTCTTATTGACTGAAGGGAAACAAATCCTTAGAAACGAAACTTACCACCATGTGATATTGAGAAACAATGACCTGGAAGGTTCAGTTTATATACAGAATATGAGGTGTCCACCATCCATTATCGCATTACAAAATTTTACATGCTATTAAGTAGAGATTTCCTGCAGAGTTATCTTCCTGTCTAGTCACTCATTATGTGTAAGCAGCAGCAATTTCTCCACTTGGATATATGAAAATATCCAAGTAGTTCGGTTGAGTTGGAATAACTGGCAGCAAACAAAGTCGAAGGCGTGGTAGAGTGCAGCGATTTGGAGCAGGCAATACCCGGATACCATCTGCTTCATCAGCTAGTGTCCTAGTGCTCGAACTGATCAAAGTACACTACAACACGAATCACGGTCTAAATTAAGAATACAGATCGCAATCCAGTCATACAATGCGTACTCCAAAATGACCCAAGTATGTAGTTGTGTATTGCTTCGTGAACACAGGCGCTCACTTGATTGGTTGACAATGACTTTGGCTTACCTTCCTTATTACGTTGGTTTTTCTTTCCGACCTTTCTATCCACTGTAAGCTAGGAAGCTTCTAGTAAAACGGCTCCATACAACGCATGCGCGTTCTGGTCCGTCCATTGGCTAAGGGTCATACTTAACATTCTGGCGACGATATAAACTGCTGCAATGTTACATCTTCTTACACTACTTCGGAATATTCCTTCTGAGAAAACAACACCGGCTACCTGGAACCTCTGGTAGCGTAATTTTTGGATCATTTGAAGCTACTACTCGTCTTGCAACAAAATACGGTACTCTTGGAGAGTCACGAAAGTCAATTATTGGGACATTGTTTGGGGATGAAGGCCAAATACATTTTGATGACCTTCATGTCGGTGAGAAGGTGACAGTCAACAGTGTGCTAGAATTCCTCAACAGATTATGAGGTTCACGAATGAACACATGCACTGCGCGGTATTCTTTCTCGATCTTGCGTCGAAACCCTGAAGATATTGTCATTGATTTCATTTCGAGGATTCAGCAAATCCTACCAGTGTCGGTATAGTGAAATCCCAGTTACGAAGTTCGAAGAGGCGATGGCTTTAGTGCTTGATATCCGGTATCCGTAACGAACATGCTCGTGAGAGGTTGTTGTCGGAAGATGAGACGACGATGAGCTGGGAAAAGGCCTGAAATATTGTTCGACAGATAGAGAATGTCCATAAACAGTTGGCAGCTTTTTCCTCGCAACCTCATTCAAATACACTCCAAGCAGTCGACCGAGATGTTACCATAAGACGGTCCGAATAGTCTTTTACCTGTTACCGATGTGAAAGTCAGGATTCATTGGCCGAGAAATGTCGTCGTAAACAGAGTATCTGTCGCCCATGTGGAAAATTAGGGCACTTGGCGCGAGTTTGCTAGCGGAGCTGCGACACCACGATTTCCCAAGAAGCCCGTGAAGGTCGTCCAGTCTTCGGACGAAGAAGACCAGCTAAACACGTTTTGGAAGGCAGCATCGAGCATCTGTAGCATTCGATCACCCTATGCAATTGGAAATAGTTGGCCAATTGGTTAAAATACAGTTGATACCGTTGCCACAGTTACCATAATCAGTGCTGCATCAGTTAAAAGGTTACCTAACTTACCCCCCTGTGAAACAACTTTGTGTACGTCCACTGGGCAGCCGATACCAGTCCTGGGAAAATTCCCTGTGCATGTAAATTACCATGGGAAGAAGCGGACCTTACAGGTATATGTCGTGGCAAATGATTACCCAAACTTACTCAGGCGCGACTGGATTGAATGCGTTCCGGCCACGATAGAGACAGTGAAGTTCATGTCCATTAACCAGCGCTTAGAGGATGTGCTCAACAAGTATTTCGACGTTTTTGATGCTAAACTAAGAAAATTTCGAGGATATCAGGCTAGTATCAAATTACGGTCGGGAACTCAGCCCCGCTTTTTCAGACCACCTACTCTACCATATTCCCTGAGCTCAAAGATGGAAGACGAGATAAAGAGATTGCAATCAACAGGAATAATCGATCCAGTCCAATACGGTGAGGGGGAGCTTCAATTGTTCCAGTCCTGAAGCCAGATAGTTCTGTGTGTATTTGTGATGACTAGAAACTAACTGTTAATCGTTGTTTAACTCTGCATAAGTATCCATTGCTTCGGACGGTGGATGTGTATACTACGCTGGCAGTCAGACAAAATTTCACACAGATGGACCTCAGTGAGGCATACTTACAAATTGAGTTAGAG